GTGCAAGGAAACGTTGTGCAACAAAACGTTGCCGTGTGGTAAGTAACTTACCCCATTAGGCTCTACAAACTCTTATTTTCCTTGAAAAAAAACGATATACATCGGACACATGACCGTTGAGTATGGGGACCTGCTCCCTTGATTACTGTACTAAGAGCCATTTTATGTTTGTTGACAGCTATGCTTAAGTGGACTCTTTGCTAAGTGTACAAACATGAAGACATTTAGAGATAGTACGTTCAGTGCTTGTATTCACGTTTGGAGTCTTATGCAGTAAGGTCTTCAATAATCCTTTCACGCTAATCAAAGCTGCTTAGTAGATTGTTTACTCGACGGCACAATGAGTGTTACACTTTTTGGTACGTACCTACATAGTTTGTCTTCCTCTACCGTGGAAGATGGATATATTCATGGAATTCAAGATTAGATATGCAGCGCTTTTGTTGTAGACGATTCCTTGTTAGTTTCTCACTTATCGCCAAGTTCTTCAGTTATAGGCTTTTGAACAAGTCGCCTTGCTGTATATAGTTCGTATGCAGGGAAGCATTTCTACTTACGATTGCCTAAATGTGCGTAAATAAGGAAGGTATATGTTAATCCGCTCCATCAGGCGGAACCCATTGTATGACTCGAACTGCTCTCCCAGGTCGAGCACGATTAAGTAGAATCTGAGCTCTTTAAACAATGGGCATCTGACTTTTCTGGTTTACGAAGACTTCTTCGATTTTGTTTTCGTTGTTGACAAATTTTAAATGAAGTATAGGGGTGAGGGTGAGGGAACAGGAAATGCAGTGGTTATTGGTGCAATCCATCAAGAACCAACGTCGTGGTTCGACACGCTATCTTAACGCTCTCTCCAATTCACGCGAGAACGCCCTAGCTCGACTATCCATAACAAGGAGAATCGTCTCGAACAGCATTCTACGCATTCATAAAGAAAAAGAAATCTGCAACACGCCAAATAATCCTAAATGATTGTGGACGACGAAAGCGAGGAAAACGAATCGATCCGTGCGCTCGTGGCCCACCAAGCCTTACATCCCTCCGGGGTCTACACATTGGTGCTAGACTTGTCTGGGAGAATAGCAGCACTGGCTCAATACATCGGTAGGTCACCATGAGTCATTGTAAATTCACTATGCATCAGATATGCATTCAATCACCTCCAAACGATGCTTAATGAAGTCGAATGCGTGGTGCATCTCTCAAAGATTGATCAACACCGAGAGCTTTATCCTTTTTATCCTTTATCTGATGGTTAGTTCCACTTCTTCTTTATTGCGCATTTTATAGCAGCGGACTCAGCATCGAAACCAGGCGACGCTTACATCCTGGATCCCTTCCGATCCAATGTGATCAATTTACTTTTTATTGCCCGCTGCATTCAATGGGTCGCCGCCGTCGTGGGGCCGGTCAAACAACGAAAAACTCGCTTCTATAAAAAGCGGGCGAAGAAAAATCGCCCATCAACTATACACTATACAGCATGGTTGTGTTGGTGATCGTACTATCCACTATCGCAATAATATCGGCTCTACCGGAAACCGAGTCATTCACTGTAAGCATCATAAGTTATTTTAGAAGTTCCTCAAAGTCCTTTTTTGTTTGCCATCTTTTTTGATTGAGATGTGAAGCTCATTGCGAAGAGATGTCAACTGTCAGCATGGTGTCGTGTGTCCGATCTCACTGGCTATCGTTGTTGATCAATCAAATGCGTTTTTTTTTCTAAGAAAATGAGTCTGGCTTCACTCTAATGTTCCACTCCACTAGAATGTGATGCAGAACGTATCTTATACAGCTTTTTGCATTGATACTTAGATCTGTTTAAATGACTTAGTTTAGAAAAGAACCGCGCAAAGATGAGATGCACTTAAATCTAACTTCTAATTTGCAACTTAGACGAGATCTCTTTTTCCAAAGTCTCGAGAAACCCGCCCCATTGCGTTTCCACTTTAACGTCACTTCCATCCTGGGCAACCACCTCATTGACAATGAGACGATGTGCAGTAGGATGATCCTTTTCAAACATTTCTCATGTTCCATTCTTTCATTTTTTCCCACTTTTCCCTGTCCCATTGTGTTATGTACATTCCTTGATTGATGGAAATTAAAAAAAGGATAAAGCTCTCGACGTTGGTTTATCCCTGAGGGATGCCCCATGCATTCTACTTCATTAAGAATCGTTTGCAGGTGATTGAATGCACATCTGGCCTTTACAATGACTCATGGTGGCCTACCGATGTTTCGAGCCAATGCTGCCATCCTCCCAGAAAAGTGTGGTACCAATCTGCCGATCCTGAAGGGAATGGAAGGCTTGGTGGGTCATGGGCGCGGTGATCGATCCCACATGTGTATTGCAGGGCGCCTCCGACCTCTGCTCCACTCGCGTCCATTGATGAAAATACAGCAGAGAATTTTTTTCATATTATTTATTTGCATCACTCCTCCATACGCTTCACAAGCAGCCATTACTGTAAAAATTAAATTAATTAAGCAAACTTATAATTTTTGAAAACTAGCGTTCATTTAACCTCGACGTGAATATTCAATATTTTCTTGGATTATTAATATAATACAAAGTTGCTACGTTGCTTTATTGTGGCCAACGTTTCATCACTTTCGTCTTCTTCAGAGTTCGATTGATCCGAGTCGATTGTAACAGGCGTTTTTTCTCGCAAAGTAGGTCTTTGTAGCCAAATCAAGCCAAATCTTCCGGAGTAGAGCACCGCACGAAAATGCGACCACGGAGGTCCACATCAAAAGGAGAAACAACTGCTGTGGATAGAATGCGGATATGAAGAAGGTGAAGATGACGGGACCTTGGCCACAAGAACTTCACGATAACCTTATGTAGATATGAATAATGAATATATCTATGTTTCGATCAATAGCGCTCATCAGTGGCCAGTTTATTTATATAACAACATAATATATATTTAACTAAAGCACTTCTACCGGAAAAAAACTGAAATTTCCACTATTTTCAAGTTTTTGCTTTCTTAAAAGAAGGGAGACCTAAAACTCATGTATTGCTTAATTAACTAGTTACTCGAACGACCCATGTTCACGAGTTGAGCGGACCCCCGCATGTTCCCGTTCGTTTCATTCCCTCGCAGTCGTCATTCACGGTAGCAGTTTGGTTCTAGCAAAGCGGCGGGTAGGACTCTTATACCGTCATCTGTAAATCAACTGCAGCTTCGAGTATAGCTGATTGACTTTGGGTACGAACACTTCCGCACAACGTGTAAATAGTCGCTCTTGGAGACACCTACATGCTCGTGAAGTGTTCTCTACAGGTCTTTTCGCCCATCTGTCGTCTATTCATTCCACTATTTGATTGACCCATCTAAGTTTCGCTATCGATGTGTGTTGCCCTGGATCTCGAAGTTGAGATTGATTTCGAAGATCGGAACTTCACATTCCAGCCAAGTATTGTGTGTGACGATTATACTTCAGAAGACATCGTTCAAGCACTCTGTGAGTAGGGCGAGGTGTTCTCGAAGTGGCTGAAGTATCAGCTCTTGCCTCTGCTGCATAACAGAGCGTAACAGACCACATGACAGAGAGATATAGCAGAACAGAAATAGCGCAACAAAAATCATACATTTGTCTATTTATTTACATGACCTGCATTCACATATTGCGGAAGTCCCATCAGTTCGTCCATTCGATTCGCTGCCTTACACTCATCGTTCAAAAAGGTCGCCGAACTTTTGTGTGCGGCTTCAGTTGCTAATACAAATTAACAGAACCATCTCGCCAAAATTCGCATAGATGTATCTCTTATACGCACTGTTTTTCATGTACATCCAGATCGCTTTAAATTCATGCTTGCACTAAATATACCAACTCTAGAAAAAAGTCCGCTTACCACAATATCGAACCCAACCTCGCCCACTTTCCACACAAATACCAGGTTTTTCTCAAATGTTATTTACCCACAAAGTCCATTTTTCGTGTACTATACAATCACATATAGCTTGCTGATCACTGATGACGTCATTTCTTAAGCCGTTCACATTATGTTAACGGTAGTATGGCGCTCCTAGATGTTCACCATAGGCAGTTGCCTGCTCTCGTAGATCGAAAGGAGTGGATTGATTCCAGACAAGTCCGCTAACAGTTTCCCAACTTCGGAGATATGAAGAGAGACTTTTTGACCAGATGTAGGGTCGAATCCTAAGGCAAGGCCTTAAACACACAGAATGATATCACTACCACTAGGATATCCACGCTAAAATCATGTGAAAATCATTTTACTCCATAGTAAAAAAAGCACATCAAAACTTGGCATCGGAATTGATATGTTTTTTTTTCAAAAATTGGAAAACTTAAAAAAAGTGTTAAAATTTTTTTGTTCAGATCCTGAAATGATTCTGAATAGCAAGAGTTTTTTTGCAAAGGCTCATTATTTTCAGTTAACTGACCTGCTTCAACAAAATGTTCATCAACGACTTTTCAACACCCTTTCCGAGTTCGTTGCCAATGAGTATGACGGAGAGACAACATCATTCGTGAGTTTCCAGTCAGGACTGAGTTCTTTTAACCGTCAGCTGATTATCCGATGCTTTTAGGACACCTCAACCGCGGGCATTGAATATGACACGCCGCCTTTCTCCATAAAGGAACTAAATCGAAAATACAGGTATAGTTGCTCGGGAAAGCTTCCTTTCTACTATATCGATCTCCTTTGCCTATTTCTTTTTCGAGCATAGTTTTGAGAATAAAAATATTTGGATGCATTCTCTCATACATTCTCCCAGTCAGATCCGGCGTCAACTTGTTGACCCCGGAAGGCGGAGGGTTTGGCTAATTCTGAACGCGGTAACAGGTCCAATGACCACCACGCAACATTCATCCTAGGGTTAATACGGTAACAAATAATCTATAAATGGTACCAATTTGCGTTAATTTTGCATCAAACTCAAGCAACGATAGTTCTTTAAATTTAAGAAGACTTAACATTATTGCAGTGCTTTATTTAGACAGGAATTTGGAACTTGACGTATATAAACGAAAAAAGCCTTGAAAGCAAACGGTGCCTAAAATGTGAAGGCAGTGGTACGCAATTTTTAGGAACTTCCCGTGATTTCAGTTCCATCCTTTATCAGTCCGATATAGTGCTACATCCTGATCGTCTGAAAGAGATCGTGGAAGACTCGATCGATCCTTCAAATGGAAGACGTATCAAAAAACGCAAAGCTTTCGTTGACTACATGTACCCGAATACTATTTGGCAACATGGAGTACCGTATTCCATTCACTCCTCCATAAGTGAGTGCCTTCGTATTGCAACAGAAATTAAGATAAATACGGATCCTGCCTTCGAAATTCGCGAGGAAGTCCTTAAAGATAACTTAACTGTTTTCATAGGATGTCACTGAAAAGGTTGCGTTTAGTTGGGATGCAATTTGAAAGTCATCACGTTGTAAACATAACCTTGAAAAAACAAACTTTAACATAACACAAAGAACGGCGTGGTCCAGCCAGAAACCTCTTAGAGAAACCTAATAAACCACTGATTCAAGGCTTGACGTAATTGCTGCTTAATTAATGTCAACCGTTTCTCTAAGGTTATAAATCACTTCTATCGACTCATTTAATACTGCTTACAGCTGGTCAAGCACTAGTTAATGTACTCCGAGCAATCGCCTTCTGGCAGAGCGAGACCTGCATCGATTTCCGGCCGCACACCACCGAGCAACAGTTTATCCAGTTCATCGGCAATGACGAAGGATGCTGGAGTACAATCGGGAAGGATGATACCCTCGGTCGACAGGTGGTCAGCATTGGCAAAGGCTGCGAACATGTGAGCGTTAACGATTAACCCCACGATATCGTACAAAGCTTCTGAACAGCTCATTTAACAGAATAACACTCTTCCTCATTTTAATCAAACAACCTTTAAAGTCAAATCTATTTAACTAGATACACCGACGTTTGTTTTAACCGTCGAGTTACTCCAGTAGATACCGCTAAATTCCTACCTTTGTCATTAACGAGTGCAAGAGTTGGTCGATTGCTGGAGTCGTTCGAGGACCACGAGCACTGCCACCATTTTTACATGAGGCCTTTCGTCTTCTGAGAAAAACAAATTTCAATCCTCTAACTTAAAAAAAGGCGTTTTTCTTAGTTTTCAGTTCGGTGTGACGTCACATGAACTTGCTCATTCGCTAGGAGTTTTCCATGAACAGTCACGATACGATCGTGATGCCTCTGTTAGGCTCAATAAGAACGTTGTCTCACCAAAACTTCTCTTCAATTTCGACAAGGTACGAAAGTGTTCAGTCGAACACTAGTGCATAAATCCTCTTCTACTAATGGGAATACTAACTAACAACAACGAGAAACAATAATATAAAATAATAGTAATAAATAATAGAAATAGTAAAAGCGTTGGTCAATTCCCCCTAATGAATGCACTGTGCACTTGATTTCACTAGAAGCATTACAGAGGTTATAGAATACAAATTTGGATTGTACTTGCGGTAGCCTATCAATGTGTCAAGTCAGTGTTCTTTCCGATACTGATGGATGAAGGAGGATTCGCTAACTCTTGGCATTGGATTGAACCAATACTACATGTGTAGTGCAGAGCACTTCTAACCATTCCACCTCCCGCACCCAGTGATAACCAAAGCTGTACTTGTATTTCGAGAATAAGTTGGGGGAAAGAACTGCGCTTAACTATCACTCATGGTTTTTTCTCTATCCACTTGAGCATAATGTCCTTCGAATGTGTTTTTCTTAAAATCATTTCGTAATTCTGATATAAACATAGAAAAACATACCATAACAACCGCGGGTTCGAAGCCTAATATAATACTGCCGTGAAAAAAAAAGGATAAAGGATAAAGTCTTCGGCGTTGATCAATCCCTGAGAGATGCGCCATGCATTCAACTTCATTGAACATCTATAGAGATGAGCGTATGCATATCTGACCTGTACAATGACTCGCAGCGACTCACCGATGTATGGTGTCAGTGCTGCTGTCCTCCCAGACAAGTTTGCTACCTGCCGACCCCGGAGAGATGGAAAGGCTTGGTGAACCTGGAGGGCGGAATTGAACCTATGTGTATTGAAGGGCGTCTTTAACCACCGCGCCACACGAACCCCGAAGGAAAAAATAGTAAAGAAAATTTCAAACATTGTTGGAGGACAGTTTCCAACCGAACTTATCCAAGATACTTTCCAAGATATTGGTCTATTTCCTAATCTATAAAAGATGCTTTCTATTTCTAGCAAATTAGCTGTAACAACGTTGCAGATCAGTCGAAGAGAACTGAACACCTATCGACTTCCCTACGATGTTGGAAGCGTCATGCACTACACACCTAAAGAGTAACTGTACCTTCTTCGATGAGTATTTTCCACGAAAAAAAATGCCACTGTCTTTCGCTTCCAGAAAAAATAGAGGTTTCTACTGCATCCTAGGAGGTGCGAAAATCCTAAGTGTTGAAATGTAGTCAAAATGAAGCATTCAACACATCACTCTCTCGAGATCACAAGATCTTATCTGATTCAACTAATCTCTCAGTTAATGTTTTTATCTAGATATCCTAATTTAAACTAATGCAGATTTTCGTCATACAAGAAAATTCCCGCATTGACAACAGTTGATCCGTATCTGCAGCAGACAATGGGACAAATGGAAGGACCATCTTTTCTGGATGTGATATTGCTAAATCTTCACTACAGCTGCACGGGTATAATAGAATCATTGATTCGTAAAACACATAAAGACGCTGTGAAATCCTATTTCTCCTACATATTTATATCACTTCTCTGTAATGGTTTATCACCTTATCGTGGCTAGGAGGAATTTCTGAGTTTCGGAATGGTGCGTGGAGTAGGACGTCCAAGTCCCAGTTCTTTAGTAGGAATCTTTCTTAAAGATGATTTGAACGGTTTCAAAGTTAATTTAGTTTCTGTTTTATTTTCTGCTAATGTTTCCTGATTAAGACCGATGCCAACGACCACCTGCATGTCAGAATGGAGGCTTTGTTGATAGCCGGGATTGCAGCAAATGCAAGTCGGTTTCTACTCCCTTAAATGGAATTCGCCAAATAGGAGACAGTATATTCATAAAAAAGTGCTGTAGAGGACCTAAATTTACAAAAAAAAATTAGGACTACTTACTGATAAGAAAGATAAAAAGGATAAAGCTCTCGGCGTTAATCAATCTCTGTGACATGCGCCATGCATTCGACTTCATTGAGCATCGCGAGATCGTTGTTGATTATTTTTCCAGATGTCCCAGCGGTTACGGTGGGGCTCTGTGTGACACGGTACAAACGTCGTTCACGAAGCGCTGTGGTGGCGAACTAATCGCCCATGAAGCCGTGCGACGGTTCGACATCACTATTAAGCAAATTGGAAAGAAGAAAACGAAACAATGTTTCTACCATCTCAAGGTCCCTATTTCGATCTTCTTAAAACTGGAAGTGAACAGAAAAAAATATCTCACTTTTCATTAACATAGAATAACAACAATGATGACTAATAATCAACAAAGAACATGATATAATATTAGTTGCTTGGATAGCTTGATGGCCCGCCTTCACTGATTGTACGCGCCTCAGCATAGTTTGCACTTTTTTGGAATTTTGTTGATTTAACTTTGATGCTGATCTAGATTTGCCACCATACGACTAGTTTGATACGACGGTGATGGATCCTTATATTGGCTTACTCTTAGCTGGACTTTCTGATGGAAATGGCGGACTCCTTCTCAGCTTGGGAGGCCCTGCCGGTGGGATGAATCCTTAGGTGGACATCGCTGGCAGCCCGACACCCAAGAACACCTCTCAGCCACAATGAGGTGGTAAACCGCGGAGAAGATGATATAGTATCAGTGAGAAATAATAATCGTAATAATAGCAGACTTCCGAACGCTAAATCACTTTTGCACTGTACTTTTAAAATATTGGCTTAGTGGTAGATAAAATGCATGAAGTAAAAATCTCTCCACGCAGTGACGAACATGTTTTGGAACGTTCTATAGCACAAGATATATGCGCTAAGGTGAAGTAACACCGCGTAGAATTGGAGGATCGGAAATTTGAGGTGGAGTGTTCTATGATAACTTGTTCTGCTGCAGCATGTCGACTAGTTTCGAGAAGATGAACATCAGCGTTTTTGAGGCCACCATCACTCGGGTGTGGTCCTGGCCCAAGTACTCCAACATGGCAACAGACGTTCCTAAGAACTGTAAAAGAATGAACGTCCAGTTTTATTTGACGAAAACACTCTATGTGTAATCGTTGCGTGGAGATATCAAGTCCCCTTTAATGTAACTAGACGCGATATGGAAAAGGCGGTTGAACTCGCTTATATTACAGAATATGACCGGCTACTTATCTCAGTCTACTGCTGCGAAACGAATTCTCGTCGGACGTTCAATATCATGACCGACCGTGGTAGCTCCGCACGAGATAGCATTTGTGAGTCTTTGCTGTGTGCCCACGCCGAGATTTTTTGATGGAGAACCTAAGTGCAGATGAGACTTCATTTCCCTAAAAGATCAAGGGTGAAACATGCCTGAAAGACTGATGCCGATTATCATCACCACGGTTCAGGTTCGATTGCGCACCAAATTCACCAAGCCTTTCATCGGAGTCGGGAAATCGTTACCAAACTTACCAGTCTACTCTATGCAATCCAAGTGCGAGTACTCTGGCACGGCATTCTCAGTACTGTCGGAAAAACACATTCGGTCAGCATCCGACGACATTCGTGACGAAAAAGAAAGCCCTCAAGCAGTAATCAAATCTACTCGCAAGAGTTGGAGGATCATCGCGGATAATGAATGCGAGAAAACGAATAGAGTGCAAGAGACAATACGTGCGTCGCCTTGTGGCTCTCATCGAAGATCCACCAACTCACCTAAAACGTAACCTTACAGTTGCAAGACGAATTTGTTCGTCCTTCGAAACATGCAGAATATGATATTCCAGGAGTAAATATACCATACATAGCGAGCCAACATAACGTATTCACATTATTACTTGGCCCGGGTCCTTTAGCATCACTTGACTACCAAGATGTTCGGCGACTACGATACTCCTGAAAACGCCGCCAATAAGTCTTTCGAGTCCGAAGCCTTGTTTTTAACCGAGAACGAACCCAAAAGTCTACCAAAATGGAGCATTATTCTCCACTATTGTGTTCAACATATCGTTGATTAAGGCTGCATTGTAAATAGGCAATATTAAAAATAGACGACGAGGAAAACCGAAACATCAAGTATCTTGGCGTAGTATGTTTGCTACCGATGTACACTGCTGTATCTCGAAGACGAGTAGTCCTTCAAAGAATGGAACCGTACACTTTTCTTATGGGTCTTCCCCTCTAACCGTTCATAGGCTGCTTCTAGTTTTTCCTGATCAGCTTATTGAGTGGTAAGTAATCTTAGTGCTGTTCTTATGATGTGCGACCGAAGACAGAATGATCAAACGAATTGCTACACATAATTGCTAAATTAATTCCATAGAAGATCACCCAATGATACAAAAATTCATGAAAGATCTTTTGTTAGTCTATTTACCACTTTCTTTTACTCCTGTGGAAAAAAGTGCCTACAAATAGCCACATATAAATAGAATCTGATTTATCTACATCAATAAATTTTTGGGTCTGGGAGCGGGTAGAGTAGTGGTAGTGAGACCGTTCATTACGTCTACGGTCTAACCTACCCGGACACTGCCTCGGCTCCATCTTGGGCCCTCTAAGACTCTCATCTCTCTTGTGTCGGGAAATTGGTAACAGGCTTGTCTGGAACAAGCTCACTTCCTCTAAACCATGGGGCAACGCGCCAGCACGACTATCACAGGATTCCATGGAGGAACGGGTGGGCGTGACATTCGTGATGAAGGCGAAAAATCCTTCCTCACGCAGCAGCCAAAGAGACACGCAGGGAAATTCTAAGACCTTCGTGGATGGGGGATGCGAAGAAACGAATCGAATGCAAGAATTGCTGGGATCCACACAATTTGAAAGATGTGATGCTGAGTCACGCAGTAAAATAATAAAATATACCTTTTGATACTGTAACACTGAGTTAGGGCGCGTGTGGCTTTGTGGTTGGAGGCGCTCTGCAGCACACACGTGGAATCGATACCGGCGCCCATGGCCCACCAATCCCTCTACCACTCCCAGGTCGGAAAATTGGTACCAGACTTGTCTGAGAGTATAGCAGCACTGGCTCGATACGTCGACCGCGATTCATTACAAAGGCCAGAAATGCATTCAATCACCTGCAAACGATTCTTAATGAAGTCGAATGCATGGCGCATCTCTCAGGGATTGACCAACACCGAGAGCTTTATCTTTCCTTACAAACACTAAGTTCTCTTAATAACTCAAAAGACCGACTTTCTATAAACTTCGGCATAGATATTTGATATATTTATTTACATGATCTTATAAACTGATCGTCTTAAGCTGATGCGAGGTTGGTACAGGTCTTCGTTGCCGTTGTCGTTGTTGTTGATGTTGTTGGTCGATGGCTGACGTCCCGGCGACTTCGCCTTCTTCAGAGCCTAGACGTATTTTATATTAGAATATTTTCATTATTCGGTGGAAAAAGGTTAAAGTATTAATGAAGATCAAACTTTTAAATAGACGCCATATTGAACAGAAAGGCCACTCACCGTGATGCTACGAGTGGGACTGGCCCACGCGTTGTTCACGTGGGGTCGCGAACAAGACCCACCCTGGGTTCAAAATATCATTTTGAAATAGGGTGCCAGGTCACGCGTGATAGTGAGGCATTCGTCTTTCCAATTCATCTTTGGATTTTTGAAATTTATCCAAAACGCCTCAAGAGTTTTGCGCGTTAATGTTTTCGATTCCTGCGCTAGGACCCGCACAGTCACTTCAAAATCATCGCCGTTGTGCTTTTGTGCCTTACGCGTACCTAGACGAGTGTTTTTACGAATTTTAACTTTCCTATCTAGATGTCCTTTTAATAGCTCGCGACCCCACGTGAACAACGCGTGGGCCAGTCCCACTCGTAACATCATGGTGTTCAATATGGCGTTTAGTTAAAAGTTTGATCTTCATTAATTCTTTAACCTTTTTCCACCGAATAATGAAAATATTCTAATATAAAATACGTCTAGGCTCTGAAGAAGGCGAAGTCGCCGGAACGTCAGCCATCGACCAACAACATCAGCAACAACGACAACGGCAACGAAGACCTGTACCAACCTCGTATCAGCTTAAGATGATCAGTTTATAAGATCATTTAAATAAATATAACACTAAGTTGTTAAATATTTCTAATACTGCAGGCATTTCTACGGTATGAGCATATTTTCTCACTATATTTTAAATCATTCTTCCACGAATTATCATGATTTCACCACTGTAAGCCGATGAACCCAATACTTTTAAGGCTCCTGAAGGTAAAAGAGTTCTTGTAAATATCATACGAGTGCAAGGAAGATGCATAGAGGGATGTTGGGAGGACGGCGTCGAGTTTAAAATGACACTTGATCCACGACCGGTCGGATACAGGTATGGCCACATATAATGTATGCTTGAAACAAAATATAACGTTTGAACAAAATTATAGTGTCAGTAGGTAGTGAAAGTGTCTTCAAATCATCAGCGGTCCGTGTAACGCAGTGTTTAGAGGACGCAAGATTTGTCTCTGGTTCAAACCCCGCCCTGGACAAATCGAGTCCCTCTTAATCCTTCACTAGACTCTAGAAACGTTTACTCTATATACCGGTGGAGCTCATATCATTGTATAGGCAAAATGTGCGTTCAGTAATTTCTTTCATGCTTAGTGAAGTCGAATCAATGGCGCATCCCAAAAGAAAATAATTTAAGGGGTACGCTTCTATCCTTTTATTCGAAGAACACAACCTCTTAACGCTAGTTATTCGCGTAAATTGGGAAGAAATTGTGGCAAGCGAAGGCATGTCAACAAGCAGAGATGCAAAACGAGCTTAGTACAATCAAGTCTAAGCGATAATGAATCCCAATGGTGCGATGTAATTGTAAAACATGCCAACTTTTCTCAATTTCACTGGCTTAAAAAGGCCTTGATGTCAGTTAAGGCAGAGTTGGTTAAGGAACCTTGGTAAAGCCAAGGCGTCACTGCTCGCTATGTGAAGATCCTTCATACAGCTTCACTATCCTAAGATCACCATGCTAGGAAGCCAGGCTGTTAACATGATGAATTGATAAGCTAGGATAAGAGATAGCAGATAAGAGGAAAGAAGTTGTTTAAAGATCTTGTAGGCGTGCCAAGGCTAAAAGGAAAACGACAACTAGAATCCTCTCCCCTGACCACTTTTCCGATTTTACCACTATTCCATCATTTCAATGTACGTCTCAGAAACTAGCTGTGTACATAAGCAAGATGGAAAATCACTGAACATTATCGGAAGCGCTTCGGCGATGGTGGGAATCCCATATAACACAAGTACTTACTAGGATACTTGGATGGTCCGTCTTCAGTGGTGGTGTGCGCCCACCATAATTCCCACTTTTTGGAGTTCAGTTGATTTAGCGATTGTGGTTCCTTGGAGTCCCGGGGTCAGCCCAGCCAAAATCTGCCCCAAGTCGCCACCACCACAAGCACTCGCCGCCCTTGTGGATCATGTGGATGTGGATATTTGCCACCATGAGACTAGTTTGGTACCAGGACGGTGACAGACCCTGGTATTGATTTACTATTAGATGGGCTTCCTAATGGAAACGCCGGGCTTCTCCTCAGCTTGGGAGACCCGCTGGCGCGATGAATTCTCTCGCTGTAAACCGCAGCCCGACACCCAGGAACACCTTCCAGCCACGATTAGGCGGTAAACCGTTGGGAGGTATCACACAAGTAAGATAGGGAATCGAAGGTTCTGATCCTGGTCGTCTATCAAGTATCAGTATATGTTCGCTACCGCATGAATCACAATCAAGAAAACGCGAAGCGCATCATAAGCGATAAATCTTCAATGCAGTCGCTGTTACATGAACATCAAAGGTATGAGTTTTCAATGTTATGTATACAAAAGAGAAATCCACAGTAGGATGGAAATACTACTTCATGAGGACCGCGAATGAAAAACTTGGCTCCTTTCAACCCTAAGAGAGAGAGAGAGAGAGAAACCCACTGACCGACTCTGGCCCGCAAACAATGGAGACCTTAGTGTCGGTGTAAGTTTGCCACGGATTCTCAGGCAATTGAAACCTCCACTATGATCATGGTCGAAGGAAAGCTTTCCCATGAGTGGAAATATAGCTATGAGTACTTAACTGAAGACAACATCCCACTTAGTGGTATTCTATAATGATTAGTTCAGGTTCTGCTGTCAACAATCTCATCAAGGACGAATTCTGTCTAGGACAAATGTTGTGCCTTTCATTGTGACGTCAAGGAACGTGGGAATCACCGTGGTATTCGAGTACACCTTCGGTGATTACAATATTTCATTGTTGCACACAAAAGCTGAAGATGTTTTGCAAACCGGTTAGGAATGCTCCACCAAATAAACATGGTCACTGATATGATTCTGCGTCCCGAAATAGCCAAGCCCTCAGCTCTTGCAAGATGGCCAAGTTGGTATCAGACTTCTAAGCAGGGATAAAAACATTGACATCACACATTAGTAGGAACCGTAAATCATCTTACTGATCATATACCATTTAATTACCTCTATGGTGCTTAGTCCACGGATCCCCCTCACATGAGGGATCCCGATAGCCGGTTAGTCGCAAGGCTACATGGAGTGTCCCGAGGTGGCAGATAGGAGGTTAATCGCGGACCAAATCGACCTTTGCTTCCCTGACACGCAGGTGGATCCAGGGTATGGACTCCCTGTTTCTGCTGGGCTGATTTGGCACATACGTTCTGTGTTTGCTAGGCGTATTCATGCATGCGTGTGCGGATGCGTTCTTGCTTATGCGGAATGTATTCTACGAGTCAGTTGGACCAAAGGCCTATAATCAAGTGAATGGGAAGTATATGGGAGGCGGTTAGGAGTCGCCTTCAACAAATAAGCTCCATGTCCGCTCTGAGAGAGCCTGGAAAGCTACCCGTGAGTATACCCAGCCCCCACGTTCAGAGCCCAGCAAGCTATACGTGGGTATCAAAATGCTGAACACAGTGAAAACAAACCGGCCTCATTCCTCTGACCACGAAAGAGTTCCCAGTTCGGCAGCGTTGGGTTGGACCAGTACGGAGAGGCTGATAAGATCTCAGGGCTAACGGAAGCTGCCTGGATTGCAAAGAACTAAGGTGACGATCTGTACCTACAATGCACGTACACTTGCACCTAAGTCCTCGATAGAAAACTTGCTCATGCAAGCAAGAAGGATAAGGTACGACGTTAACGGCCTGACCAAGGCGAGACGACGCCACCCATTCAACGCCGTCTATGACACCGGAGAAAAACTGTTCCTTGGAACATGGGGCAGTAGAGGAGTCGACGGCGTCGGCGTTCTCGTCAATACGAGTTTGTTCATGAACATCGATTCATTCGAACAACTTCCAACCCGAATCGGACGTTTACGATTAAGAAGACATGGATCAATTCCGGCTTTGACAAACTTCGTCGTTTACGCGCCGACATCAAACCATGACCAGAAAGAAGCCGATGCGTTCTATATGGACTTGGAGAAGTTCTACAGAGAAGACTATACATTCTTCAACGTCACCATTGAAGATTTCAACGCCAAGATTGGACCAAGAAGAACGTCTAAAGAATATCACATTGGGAGCCACGGATTAAAATGGAACGAACAGGGTAAGCGGCTATCTGATTTTATCATGGCTACCAAGACCATCCATGGTAACTGGCAATTCCAGAAACCCCACTCTCAATGATGGGGATGTGAGTCTCCCAATGGAAAGTACCATAACGAAATAGACCACATCATAGTAAACAGAAGATTTTGGCTAACCGATGCCGCTGTTGTTCCAAAATTTTGCACAGGATCAGGCCATCTCCCCCTTCGTGCAAGATGCTATTTCTCGCGGAAAGAAGAAAAAGCCGCTGAATTCAAAAATCGAAGTCCCAAAACAACCATAAACTGGTGCTTATTCAATTCATCAGTCGGCTACTGGAAAGATGCCGTTGTCAATAATATCGACGAAGAATACGATCGGCTTATTCAACATCAAGCTAGCGCTATGAAAGCTGAGAGTTCGAAAGTCACCAAGAGACGTATATCTCCAGAAACGCTCGAGCTGGTATGCCAGCATGGAATCGCACGAGCTGCAGGCAGTCATGAACTAACGCCCGAACTTGCAAAACAATGCAGGTAGGTGATAAAAGAAGATCTTAAAGAGAGAAGAGCAGCAGTAATGGTCGAGGCTGCAGAGGCCGGGATTCGGCATTCGCAAAGACCACCGAAGCTTCGCCAATTACAAGACCAAGATGATTGCACTACGACACCCAGGCGGAACAGTTACAGCGTCCAGGAAGGCAATGGAGAAAATCATTCACGAGTACTAAGCAGATCTCTTCGATAGCCAAGTCCACTTCCCGCTATATGAAATAAAGGACGATGGATATGTTGTACCACCGATTCTCCCTCCCGAAATCCGACATGCCATTTGGTTGGTGAAAAATCGAACAGCACCAGGTCCGGACAGGATAAGACCAGAACACCTGAAGAACCTTCCACCAGCCGTCGTAAACACACTGGCTCAGCTCTTCACACGTTACTCGTCTGAATGCAAGGTCCCTACTCAATGGAAGACCAGCAAGACCGTACTAATGTTCAAGAAGTGTGACCTCTACGATATCGGCAACTATCAATAAATCTGCTCGCTGTCTGTCCTCTACAAACTTTTCGCTCGAGTCATCCTAAACAGGACTGACAGAATACTGGACGAAGGGTAGACATGTGAGCAAGCAGGGTTTCGAAAAGGACTTAGCACGATGGACCACACACACACGGTAACACGGCTCACTGAAGTATCGCAAGAGTACAGAAGACCGCTCTGTCTCACTTTCATCGATTTACAGAAAGCCTTTGATTCAGTTGAGATGGAAGCAGTCTGGGAAGCCCTTGATAGTCAAGGAGTCCCTACTCAGTACATAAAGATTCTTCGTGAGCTGTACAAAAATTTCACAACCAAGATATCACCATTCTACAATGATATTAACATTGACGTCAAAAGAGGAGTTAGGCAAGGCGATACCATCTCGCCAAAATTATTTACCGCCACCCTCCAGAACGTCATGCGAAAATTGGAATGGGATAATATGGGAGTGAAAATCGATGGTCGGTAGTTACACCATCTTCGCTTTGGTGATGACATCATCCTTATAACACTAAATATTTGACAAGCGGAACTTATGCTTGCCAACTTTGATAAAACCTGTCGAAAGATTGGTCTTCGACTAAATCTTTCAAAAACGATGTTCATGAAGAACGGATTGATTCCGCATGCCCCATTCACGCTCAACTGAACTTATATCTCCGAACGCTCCAGTTATGTCTATCTGGGTCGGGAAATCAATATAATGAACGACCTAGCTTCACAGCTGAACAGAAGGAAACCAGCGGCTTGGGGAGCTTTCAAGAGCAACGAGGATGTAGTGAAAAGGACAAAGAACAACCAACTCCGTTCCCACATTTTCGACTCAACGGTATTTGTTGCGCGAACGCATGCGCCAGAAACCTGGTCGATGCATAAGCAGTATGAAAGACCACTCAGCGTTATTGAAAGCGCAGTCGAAAGGACGATGCTAGGAGTATCCCGTTCCACACAAGTAAGGGAAGGGATCCGAAGCTCCGACCTGTGTCAATGATCAAAAATCAAAGATGCCGTTTTGTACGCCAAACAGTCGAAGATAACATGGGCCAGACACGTAATGCGTATGAACGACAACCAATTGCGAAGAGCCGTCAGCGACTGGATACTTCGGGAAGCCAAACGCACAGCAGAAAGACCACCGACCCGATGGTCAGAGTTCTTCACAAACCGCCTAGAAGAATGATATGATGCTCGACGAGTTCCTAGAGCGAGCAGAACCCATAGGGCTACTCTTGCACGCTGCAGGTAAAAATGAAAATTTATTGGTGACCGCTCGAGTCACTCGATCAACGGGACCACAGGCGATACAGGTGATGGTGCTTAGTGGAGTCGAGTGCATTGCATATTCCAAAGAAATGTCCATCAAGACCGAATGTTTCATTTTCTGTAAAATTTATAAATGCTAGGCGAAAAAATAAGTGTAGCGCAGTGGCCGAAGGCGCCCTGTAATACACATAGGACCGATCCCAGCATCCCAGACTCACCAAGCCTTCCATCCCTCTGGAGTTGGCAAATTGGTACCAAACTTGTTTGAGAGGATAGCAGCACTGGCTCGATACATCAGTAGCCCACCGCGAGTCATTGTAAAGGCCATATATGCATTCAATCACCTCCAACGATGCTTAATGAAGTCGAATGTATGGCACATCCCTCAGGGATAGATCAGCGCCGAGAGCTTTATCCTTATTATCCTTATCAGCTTTTCAATCATTTAGTATCATATTTCAGTCGACGCAAACTCGTATAACTTCAAGAAGGAAGACCCAGAAGTTCTCCATTGGAATACAGAAACTCCCACCAGAGACAAAATGCAAATAAACGACTTCGACCCGTCAACGACTAAACAGTTGTGAACCGATTTCAGCTCAGAACTGCAGGAACGAAGAACAACAGCTCAGAACATGTCATGTGCAGAGTTAATTATGATATAAATTCCAACATGTTTACTCGCCTCCTGTTCATCGAAATGATAAAGTGATAGCCCCACAGCAAGCCCTGCAGGCTAACACATTGACGAAGGCGAAATATTCACGTATGTTGTAGGGTATTTCCCAATAATTGATGCAACTAAGGAATATAAAACTTGTACTTCATCATATATATTCTACATCATCGATATCTCTTTCGTAAGGTGTCGTCCTGACCTTAAATTTATTTGAAATTTTGAATCTCGAAAAATTGAAAACTTCAAAAAAAAATTGAAAAAGTTGAAAATCGAATTAATGTTCTTGAAAATTTTAAAAACACCACGGCAGTGTAGGACCACAATTGATCTAAACCCTGCGACAACGATGCGCATTGATTTCGATGTATAAGCGCTGCATGTTTCGGAGAGTACGTCTTGATTTCCATGCGCGTTTCGATTGCGCTCCAATGACACGTGGTCCGACAAGGGCGCTACGAAAAAATGGCCGCGGTTGTGAAATGTTTAAGAAGAATGACCACACACTTAAGAACAGAATAGTATTTTGCTGGGGTAGTCCCGCCTCTTCAATCGTAAGAAAGGCAGGAAAATCGTTCTTAAAAGCATTATTGTAAAATATGTAACATTGCGCCTTTTTTGTGAATGCCTGCAGATTCTATGGATTTCTATTCCAATTAATCTTCGCTTGAAGTTGAAAGGCGTATTTATTTTCGGACATACCTCAGTCATTACCGATGTCGGCACCAGTGTGTTCACCAGTAAAGGGTAGAAAAGGCATGTCAGTAACTTCTACTAAGTTGCATTTTCTTGCAAATCTCTTGAAAACTTCTGTCTTAAATATAGATCTCAATGTATGGACAGTGTAAAACCGTTCCAAGCACTGAGAATGGTAAGACTGAGAAAGTAGAAAATCAACTGATGAAGCAAGCTGTGTAGAAAAGGATATAAATTTACTAACGTTTTTAACAAATCACACTTGTGATTTACACGTGGATAGGTACTAATATAAAAACAATTCTAACGAAAAACAACCACAAAAGAAAAATCCTAACGTCATGATTTCAAAACGTTTTCATATAATGCCTTATAACGTCCTTCTCTTGCCAGAATCCTACGATGTTGCCAAGCGGGGAGCACTTTTTTGTTCTCGTTATAGTTAGGATCCAACCATTTAGGTGCCTCAAACAAATTCTATTTCATAACCTTCCCAATACAACTGATATCCAACCACAATGATGCTGAGACATTTGCAAAACTTCGGACCGCAGCTGTCTGCAGTGGGGAACGAACGCGCTATTGTCCTTTCCGAGGAGTAGCGCGTTCACCACCACACCATGCGGGTCCGTCGCTTCGCCTTTCCATCACCTACTTTTCTACAACAACACCAACCGAAATTTACCAAATGAACGCCTTGAAATATATTTTAGAAAAAAATAAACAAAACTTTGCCGAAAAAATTTTAAAGACCTGGTAATCATCGAGTTGTGCTCGCCGTAATCGCTCCTCTAGCAACTCTTGTTCTATTTCCTTCGGATCTCGATACATATCAAGGTACCTATCGTAAAAATCGACCATAAAATAGGAATGTTTAAAGAGATGGATCCACAATTAGTCAACATTCAACACAAAGTCGTGAGAATTCGACAACTTATGTTTTCTGGACTGGTGAAGAGGAGATCTGGAATGAATAAATCACTCACAAATCAAATGGTTGTGGTTTCTTAGGAAACTCCTTCTGCTCAGGTTTTAAGGGCTCGTTATACTTGTACTCGTATAGAGGCGACTTCAACCCTGCAATAACCTTACATTAAAAATGCTAAAAGTTAATGCTCTTTACCTCTTCGAAATTCCTCTGTAGCGATAAAACAGAGTATTAATCTGTTAAAACAAACTATTCCGATAAAAAATAGACAGAAATATAATGAACCCCAACTCACTCACCCATCCCATGCAACTGGTTTTTTACAGAAATGTCGTATGATGTCTGGAAGAACGATATAAACGACGGTGTGATAGTATCCTCATTCTCTTTGTAGAAATGGGACATTACAAATACGCGACCGTCAAGAGAATCACTACAACAACAAAGAAGTCCAGACCATTGGTCTTGAAGGAAAACAAAATTTTACCTATTCAATTTAGGCAGGCTCTGTAGCGGACTTTCATGACGAAATAAAACGAACACCACTCGATGGTAACCTGTACCGTAAAATGGGAGTGGTTGTAGATATGGCACAACCTAAAACAGATAAAACAGATATTATTTACTTATTTGGATTCTTGGATGGCCTGTCTTCACTGGTTGTGCGGTTCCTAACATAATTTCCAATTTTTTGACTCTTCATGGTTTAGCCATTGTGGTTCACTGAACTACTGAGGTCAACCTGGCCAGTCTATCACGGGTCGCCACATCACTGACAGTCGCCGCTCCTGTGGATCAAAAGTGAAATTTTCCACCATGCGAAAAGTTTGGTACCAGAACGGTTGTGGATACTGATATTGGTTTTGGTTTACTTTTAGCTGAGCTTCCTAATGGAAACGCCGGACTCCTTCTCAGCTTGGAAGGCCATACTTGGAGGATGAATCCACCGCTGTAAACCGCAGCCCGACACCCAGGAACACCTTCCAGCCACGATGAGGCGGTAAACCGTTGGAAAGTTTATCGACATTGTTTACAAAAAAAAAGATTTCCAATCAGAAAGAGCTAAGAAACCACTATAAAAAAAACTACCACTTTGTCCATGATACGAAGGAATCACAGAAAACCAATACTTATGTGATAAACTGAGCACCTCATCTCCATTCTCTATGCTTTCTCCATCAGATATGTTAGCGACCATCCAATGGACAATTTCGCCTTCCTTCTCATATGGATTTCCGTCCAGATTTAACATAATCAACGTGTTGTATTCACCAGCTTTGACGGATTCAATCCTAACCTAAAGTTATGCCTTTAAAAAAAACAAAGATCTAAGGAACTTCGTTCGACAATTTAAAATCTTGGATTTGAACAGAAAAAAACACGTCCCGGAACTCACTTGGGGTTTTGACGATGTAAGGGACGCAGACAAAGTGTTCCCAAAAAAGACACCATTGTCACCAAAAGAAACATCCAGGTTCTGTACATTCTCGAAGAAAACTCCTGAGAAAATCAAATTAAAACTGCTACATCGGTATTTAAAAAGACATTTTAACTTTTTTCGATTTTCTTTTCCTCGACTCCTTCTCTTAAAATAGCGCCTTGTTGGTTGTGCTGAACCGCTTACTCGACATAAATTCTTACTTTAAAATTTGGGTGAAATAAACCGAATGTGGACTTTCTCCTAATGGCTAACCATCCTAAATCACATGCAAAGAAACACTTTTCACTACCGTGAGTGCTGTCTACTACGACTCTAGTCCTCGTTGAGAGGAGTGGGAGGGTTTGTGTCAACTCGCCTTCACTTGTCTGCTTGCCGCGAATGGGCGGGCCAATGCCTGTTGGGCCGACTCCGGCTCAAGTGAAGTCCCTTGGGGATCACACTGTTGAACCTATGCATCCTTTTGTGGTGATGCTTGTTACCTCACACACCATTGTACTCCGGACAACAAAATGACGCTTCAGCTCAACAGTATGGTCCCCAAAGGACCCCACTTGAGCCGGAGTCAACCCGACAGCCATTGGCTCAACCGCGGCAAAGAAACAAATGGAGGCTTTTCACTACCATTTGTACAGCACTGCAATGCACTAAATAAATGAAAATTTGAAGGTCTATCAAGTATTACGATGCAAATTAAAGCAAACTATGGAGTTATAAATCTATAATAAAATAAAAAGTAACGACGTGAAAGCTGCTGAAATAATCGTAAGACAAACCTTTCCCAAACAGGTGCTCGAAAACGCCGTAATGCCTCACAACGTTAGTACTAGAAAATGTTGTTGATTCATAATCAACTCGTACTGGAAAATAGGACTATGTCTGGAAGGAAAAGGTTGGCATGAAGCGCATAGTTAGAAAAATTCACACTCCATTTTCCGTGACTTTCGTTCTAGCACTGCCCGATCCTCATCAGACTTCACCGCAACGGAGGGCGTAGACCGTGGAACAAAGCCGATATTTATGTCGGGATGCTTCGGCTTCTCTGAAAAAGGGAGAAATATGAAACCAGCTACATAGACATCTATAAAACGAACCAGGAAAATATTAAGGGATAAACAGAAGCAAATCTAAGAGACCTCTTTCCAGAAGATCAGCCAAAGAATGCAGATGATTCGTAGGATCGATGGTGTAGAATTTCGGAATTTCCTCAGGCTTGTCAATTCTACCTTTGTACCACTTGTCGATCTCATAGAACCTTAAACAGAGCACACCTTGGAAATTACTATGTTCCACATTCAGCCGGTTACAGGACACTGTAATCCTGAACCAGAAAGGACTACATGACCACTGTCTTCATGTTCAAATAGTCCTGTACCAAGATGTATAGTAGCAATTTCAGAGGTCACAGGGATGCTACTTGTAGTACTTGTTAATTGTGGTTCTTGCACAACGTCAGTACTTCTCACCCGTCAGCACAAGGAATACTAAACAGTATCTACTTACAATTATGTTAATAAAGATTTAGAAGGACCTGTTTGGGTAGAAAGCAGATGGTCCAGCCCAAGCGATCATTTGTGGTCGCATTGGCCGGTCGATCACAGGAGTTCGCTGGGCCCGGTGCTTTTTCGGGACGAGCCGAGCATATTGCTTGGCACTCATCTACTGAAAACAGACTGTCAGAGAATTCATTTTGAAAAAAAGGCACTTCCTAAAAACATTATGACTGATAAGCAATTAGAAAAGTCCTGGAGCTAATGAGCATTGCCTACGCTTAAGTAGTGCAGTGGACGCAAAGTGAATGGCGCCGGGTCTTCAAACAGGTTTCAAATTTCAGACTGGCCATATACCAATTCGTTCGCACCTGTTCAGGGTTCCCACTACTGTTGAACTGTCCACAGTTATATGAGTATCATCTACATTACCTGTATCACCTGTTATCTCGGTGATCATCGTGTAACTCAAGCGCGCGCCAGTAAACCCTCCATTTCTTCTTTCGCGTGCAAGAATGGCCCAGTAGATTCTGCTCGTTCTACGGACTCGTTGAACATCAAACCTTTCTTCTAGACGTTTCGCGAAGAACTCTGACCATCAGATCGGTGGTCTTTCTGCTGTGCGTTTAACTTCCCGAAGTATCCAGTCGCTGACGGCTCTTCTCCATCGGTTGTCGTTCATGCGCATTACGTGTCTGGCCCAAGTGCCTTATATTTTTTGAGAATCTCGTTCAGATATCCAATTCCTTTCGTTCAGAACATCCTTCAAGCCTTCGTTCTTAAATGTGTGATGATGAAGCGTTCGGGCAGAGTCAGGATGTGTTGGCTACTCTTACTCACCAACAGGTTGGACTCGTCGGTAGTAGAGAGCCATGGAAGCGAGAATTCAACTGCAGTGCAGGTATTGTACCGTCTGAATGTTCCTACAATTAGATGATGAAAGCGCAGATCTTGTGACTGCTTCATCCTCTCGTTTTGCGCTCCTTTTTATTTTCTTTTCTTTGTTTCCTTTTGGTAAGTAGGAGACTGCCAGTGTATTTCCCATTGTAAAACGAAGGAAATGGAAAAGGTGGTATGGGGAAGAATGTTATAGTATCATAGAGCCACATGTAATGACAAAGGTTTTTTTTTACGAAATCATCCATTTACTAAGGTTTTGTTACCAGCCTTCCTGAGTACTTGGTTGATACATCTTCACTAATCGCGATGCCCTTCCAACTATTAAGACCGTTTCTTTCCTGGGATCATGAGATACCCGCCCCAGTACGTTCTCATGCTTTCAGTCATGAGATAACGACTCTAGTGGGTCAGGAAAAGGTTAGCTGCCTTGGGAATAGGTTCCTTTCAGGACTGATGTGATTCCTCCAGGAATTCGTTTCATATACTAACTAGGTTTTCGAATGACAATGTAATAGTCATTTGTGACTGCCGGGTGATGGAATCTTCTTCTGCTCATGGGTTAAGACCACTTCAGCACTATAAATCATAGATGGATAGATTTATTGAAAGGAAGCAAGTGCCACAATGTTTTCTTTTACTTTCAGTTCCCTTAAGCACCGCAGTGGAGCCTCCTGCTCACCACTCTGGAAGCAGTTCCAACTCGCACGAATTGCCTTCCCTCCGAGAGGAGTATGCAGACTTTGCACAACTAGGTTCTACTTCATTTCCCATGGCTTTAGTACGTTTTCTTTTCAATTAAGACAGGACATACCTTTAGTTGTGTGGCCATACTCCGACCTTAGGAGTTCTTTTGTTCAGGTCGCTACATCTCGTGGAATTCAGTTCCTTTTTGGACGATTGTTTAAGGTTTTTCGACATCTTTCGAATTCGCCTAATATTATCAATATGGAGGAATTTATGCAAGGTAGTTAGTATATATTTACACGTATGTATGTGTGTATGAAATGCATGAAGGCGCGTGTAGCGCAGTGGCCGGAGGCGCCTTGCAGTACACATGAGATCGATCCCAGCGCCTGTAGCTCACCAAGCCTTCCATCCCTCCGGGGTCGGCAAATTGGAACTACACTAGTCTGTGAGATAGTAGCATCGGCTCGATACATCGATAGCCCGCTTCTTGTCATTGTAACGACCAGATATGCATTCAGTCATCTCCGGACGATGCTTAATGAAGTCGAAGGCGTGGCGCATCCCTCAGGGATGGATCAACGCCGAGAGCTTTTAGTTAAGTTATAATATATCGTTCATTCAGTTTATACTGCACGACAATTCTGTGATGAGCTGGTCTTTAACAACGATTGCGAATTTTTCTTAGCCACATTAACCAGTTAACAATCTCAGATTGGCCTGTTTAGTGTTTGGATTGGTTGAATTCATCGGTTCGGAAATTTGCTTAAACGAAATAACTACCGTGAACTACCTTGAGATGTATTCTCGATTCTTGATGAGACTTGGACTTCTCAGCAAGTCAGCAGCATTACCAGCAAGCGCGTACTTACTGGTTTGTGGTAAACTTAAACTTTAATTTTCATATTTGTATTAATTTACGGAGCCTCGTTGACATTATGTGAATTGCAACCACAATGATGTTGAGATATTTGTGAGATTTTTTGAAAACTCCGCAACAAAGAACCCATATGGTGTGGTGGGGAACGCGTTAGCACCTGGAAAGGACAATAGTGCGTTCGTCCCCTACCGCAGACACATGCGCTACAGAGTTTTGCAATTATCTCAGCTTCATTATGTTTGCATTTCACATAATACCCTACCGTGAAAAATTGCAGTAGGCAGTAAATAAAAGGTTAACATTGTCATTGTCATTTATTGGAAGGGAGATGAGTGAAGCTCAAATTGGTGTCGCGGACCAATTTAGTGTAATTGTAGAGTCTCTTACTACATGATTATTTGAGCATTCAAGCAGTAATTTTTAAGTTTCCTGTACCATTTCAGAATTTCCCATTCCATGCTGCACTGTTCGCATGGAGTTTTGCTTGCAGATTATTTGAAGTCAGTAAGTTATATCCTTTCTTACAAGTACTCCCTTGATCTAGCTATCTTCTGGAATCTGTTTCATCTGAGATCCTGTTGGGAATAATTTCAGAATCCTATCTGCCTGCTGAAAACACAAGTCGTTTGACAGCTGATGACGCCTTTGTCGTTCTTTTGGACGGCTTGGCTGTCTTTAAACAAAACATTGTGAGTACCACTGCATTTTTTTATTAACCAACTCAGTTTTTGAGGTGCTCAAGACTTCTAGCTGTTCTATTTAGGGCTGCTCCATATCTTGTTCTTGTGTCCATTCAGTTCTGTTAGAGCTTTACAAGACGATGTCCAGTAAGCTTCTTAAATGTTCTTTTCGTATCGTGGAGTGTTTGACAAACGATGAATTTCCATATTCTTCGAGTAAGTTGTAAGCTATTGAATTATGTTGGTCGATTTAATCCTGTAGTAACGCAAGGATATGATTGGTACGAGGGCAACGCCATGTTTTTTTCTTTCTTTTGTTTTCATTTATAGGTGAGTTCGGTACGCTGGGCACCACACCGGTTAACTTTCTGGGATTTTTCGCTGACGTTATTTCACACCTTATTGATTTCCGCATAATTAGTGAGTCGTTTACTTTAGCACTATCTGATTATCAAAGAAAAAGCAGAGAGCTTTGTCCTTATTGACTAAAATATTGCAAATGGCAATTTTCTCGTCGTTGGTCGTTCGTCGTTAATCGTCATTGGGATCTCAGAAGTCATTAGCATGTACACATTGTTGTCAAAAAAGTCAAAGTTTACTTATTCCGGAAGAACAGAATTTTGAAATCTTCGAAGCGACTGGTTTTCCGAAAGCATTTGGAGGTCGCCGTAATGAAATCTGTCTTGGGCGGGCTACTTTTAAGGAACAAAAATGATTTTTGGACCGAGTTTTGACTTTGAATGAGAAATGGATTCCTCGCATCGATGACTGTGTTCCTCACCAAAGTTGGATTAAAATGAACTTCGTAAACATTTTCCGAAACCGAATTAGCACTAAAAGGAGACCAGTGTTGTGAAAACACGAAAATCCACACACCAAGATTAAGTGTGATCCCATTCCTGTGATGTACATCTGCAGTCCAAAGATGTTGACTTAGTTACTATTTAATGAACTGTCATTATTTATTTGATGCTGCGAAATATCGAAAATTAAGGTAAAAAGGATAAACCATAAAGCTCTTGGCGTTGATCATTTTCTGAGAAATCCCCCATGCATTCGACTTCATCAAGCACCGTTAAAGGTGATTGGATGCATATCTGGCCTGAACAATGAGTTGCTATGACCTACCGTTCTATCAAATCAGCGTTGCTATCTTCCCAGGCTAAGCTGGTATCAATTTTCCGACACCTGAGTGATGAAGGGCATGGTGAGCCACTGGCGCGGGGATCGTTCTAAAATGTATTACAGGGCGCCTACGACCACTGCGCTACACGAGTTCTTATGCGTGTACGCGTGTACTGTTAGTTGGGAGAAGCATACGACATTATCCCTAGGAGTCTAGATGCTAAGACATCACCACAGTGGTATCCACACCGTGTGATTCAATTCATGAACTCATGACAGTTAGGCTCCATTCTACGCGATAGCTATATAAAATTGGTCCCTTGGGTGTAAGTGTTAGTTTAGATTGATATTGAGATTTTCTGAAAACTTAGGCAATGATGCAAGTCTTTAAAGTTTTTAACTCAAGTGCGCAATTCGTAGAGAACAACGATGTGAAAAAATAAAGACTATGGAAATACGATTTCTATGCTCCAGAAAATCAGATTTTCATCGAATCTTAACTGAGCAAATGGGTTTGTATTTGTTCGCAAAGCTTTATAGATTCTACAGGTTTTTTTTCAATCAGAAAAGTTCACTATGAATTAATAAATTTTATTTAATGTTGAAAAGCAAAGTTTTTTTTTTGACCACGAATAGATAATTCTAACTTATGTCTTATTGTAGCTCTTGCAAAAATGTTGAATAGTAAAACTTCCATTGCCAAAATATTTAATACTGTGATTTACGGATGAGAGAAAGATGAAACGAAGGTCGCGCATAGTGTGGTGGTGAACGCGTTAGCCCACAGAAAAGGCAATATCATGTTTGTACCCACCGCAGACACCTGCGGTCCGGAATTTTGCAAATATCTGAGCATCATTGTTGTTATGTCTTACAGCATGCAATGCCGTGAAAAAGATAGACAGTGAATAAAATGTGATTACACTATGATTTCAACTCCAAAAAAACGTGTTTTCAGCTTCGAATGATATTATACCACGTTTTGTGTTAATAGTTGGCATGGCTGATCTACTATGTGATACGGCACTTCTTCCTACCTGCAGAGTTCTTTTTTCGTTTATGAAAAAGCACAATCTGAAAGGACTCGTGAAAATACGGTAGGTCCCAGATCGCAGTGGTTCTCAGGATTTTCCCGTTTCGCCAGTTTTTTCTGTTTGTTTAACACTTGCTTAGCCAGTGTTGATGGTCAACCTTAAGGATATTTGCATCTCCTTTATGCCAACTGCACAGTCCTCATGTTTACCGTCGTCATGTTGTCCTTTATAACAAGAGCAAACAATTATGATGGCTATCGTATTTAGCGCGAAACAACGAAGTTTGAAGAAATCGTAAATGAGACAGGTTGATACTACGCCCTTCTTTTGGAAATTATTTTGAGCAGCTGTAGATTGTGCTCAGTTGCATTACAGAGCTCTGGACAAACTCTCGAATCAAGCTGCTGAGCACGTTCGTGATCCATTAGTTTGACTGTCCTTTGTTATAACATGCGAAGGCGTCAAGTAGTATTTTATCAATCCTGTGTACCTTATTAGTCGTTGTTTTTTTGGTTTAGTTCTAGTTGTTTAGGATTCATGGCCCATGTTGTTAGTAAGGTTCATTTCAATTCTGCAAGTAATGGGTAAGGTGTATGTTAGGTCACTCGAAGTTTTCTCATGTACTTACTCTTCTTGTTTATTCATAGTCAGTTCTCATGACTTCTTTGGGTTATCTACTGCATTTAATTTTTAGTGGTTTTACTATTTGGTACCTTAAGAAAAAAGTGGTAATGACATGAACAAAACGAAGGATAGATAGCAATTTTTCATCTGCGACTTGCACTATAGGACTGGACCGTAGAACTTGCGATACCAGTGGGAAACCTTTGTTAACATAACCTAAGCCCAGGTCGACGTATGGCATTGATATGACTCAATCCGAGCAATGTGTCTGGAAACTTGATTCGTCAAGTTTTTGATGCTCTTTCAAAATGCTTAAAGCAGTTGAATAACTATCCAGAAAGATTTACAGAGACATCAAATGAGAAATTAGTTGATGCTGGTGATGGCGCTTAAGAGGAATTTGAACTCTTGATTGCACATGTAATTGAAGGTTGTGAACAGCAATAGATAAGTCGTAATATTATCTGGATCTGATGTCCGCTATTCTTCTTGGACGTTATTTAAAAAAATAATTGTGTTGAGTGAAAGTACTTCGTTATTTATTTCGCATTAGAAGAATTAATCGAACTGTAATCGCCAAGATTTCAGTGAGGAGTCGTCAGATATTTTCTTTTGTGAGTCCGCTTGAATGCTTTTCCCGTGAATTTGTGAGTTCTGGAGTACGGGCTCTTTATTGCTAATGTTGTCTACTGTCTGTACTATCCGCACTGCATTCGGATCGAGCTGTTTCTATTCGTAAACAGTTAATAGGAATATTTGACTTCAATTCATGGATGAGCTATTGATCTTTGTATTCTTTTTTGCAGTGAATACATTTGCTTTCCTATGGAATAGGTGGTAAATACACTGCAAAAGGTTGATGTAGAGATATCGTTTACATGTCAATTCTTCCGCGCTCATTTGCTTCTTTTTCGGATTTTTCCCACAGACTTTCCAGACTTTTTCTATAAACTTGGTACTCTCTGGCTTTTCGCAGAATAAGTACATTGAATTCCTTAATAGTCTTGCTGAATTTGCCTACAAGGTGTCTATATTTTCTGCATCACAGCCGAGTACAGTTTAAGCACGGCTTTCGGGGTATTTATAAGTTGTTTAATTATTGTGGTGTTTTACAGTAACACAGGGTTGGACTTTTTTGGTTCAATCCGTTCTAATTAGACGAAAGGCACATATTCTCCAACTTTCCTGAAGTTTACTTTCGTGGATTTCAGAAAATTCGCATCGAAATTCGTCACGAAAATTCTTCAAACAGTGGAAGTTGCTGAGTTGCCAGATTTGGTAAGAATCTTATCAGTTTTAGCTTTTGCTTATTAGATCTTTGAAACCTAAGAGTCAGCTGAGATTTTAGGAGAAACTAAGTCGAGGTGATTCATCTCGTTGGGCTGAATCCGTCATGAACTCTTTTCGAAGCTGCGTCAGTGAAGAACTGCTACTAATCGATTTTTTGTTGCGAATTCTTTCAGGTAGGGATAGGTCTCTATATTTGTTCCCAAACTTACCATATAGCTTGCGAATGTTTTCAGACGAGCAGCTGTCTTCCTGTAGAGGCATTGTTATAAATCGATATGCGAATTCCAAATTACTTGTGAAAGGATGTGTACTATCGTCCACGTTATCCATGCTTCTCGCACTTGTTGGCGGTGTAAATGATAAGTTCTGGATTTGCTTCATACCCTCATATCAAAGTAGTTTCAGTATCATTTCTTCAGATGGAGAAGAGTTATCTGTGAAAGTCTGCCAGTGGTTGGTTGAAAATGTCGGCCGTGCTGATGAGGATCAGTGCCACGTATTGTTTAATGCATTAGACGCTCTTGCAATTATTTCCGCTAATGATGTATCCATAAAGAAAGTGAACATCGGAACGGCGTTGGCAAACGGTGAATGTTATTATAATGATGCTGAGATATTTGCAAAATTACGAACCGCCAGTGTCTCCGGTGGGGACCGAACCACGGTACTATCCTTTCCGGGAGTTAACACGTTCACCACCACACCATGCAAGCCCTTCGTTTCGCCTTTCTTTAAGTCGTCTTATTAACCTATAGGTGCTTGTTTAATCCTCACCGCAGACACCAGCGACCCGGAGTTTTGCCAATATCTCAGCATCATTATGATTATATTTCAAATAATACCCTCCCATTAAAAAATAGTGGGCAGTAAATAAAAGTGACGACATTGTGAGTTATTTCTAATCTCGCCGTAAATTCATTTTGATAGCTTTGATAAGTTGATAAGAGATAAGCGTAAAGCAACATTGTGCTCTGCAGAGTTTAATTTCTTGGGATACCCACTAATGAAGACCAGTGATTTTTAGCCTTTGATCTACATTTAATTCTCCTGATCTCTTTGTATAAAATGAATGTACTTTTGACAACTTTCAAACTTTCAGCCATGAATGTGTTGCCACTACCAGAGAGGAGTAGAGTTTTTGCAACGAGGTATTTGGTGATGGTCCAGTCGTATCCTAAGGAGCTCTATGATGTTGACATCAACCGTTTTGTCATGGCGGCCTCCACGTCCGAGTTGCTGGAGTTTTTCTACCTCTTCACGAATGTTCAAAGAGAAGTTCCTGGGTCGATCTGGGATAAGGCGACGAATCTCCTATTCACAACGAGACCGAATGATTCGAAGCTTCAAGCTTTCGTTGTTAATCAGGTTGTTTTTTAGTATATTCCTTTTACTTAATTTCATAAAGCAGCGGCTATCCGATTAGTCTATTTGATCCATGGAGTCCAAATAATGAACTTCACTTCTAAAGGGGTTATATCCGAAAACACATTTCCTCGTTCGTGAAGAAAATCTGTTCAAATTTTGCTTCTGAACATTCATGTGTAGTTTTTGTTTCTGAGCACTTTCGTAATCTTCGTTCAGTTACTGGTGGAATAAACAGCTAAATGAAGAACTACGAAGGAAACATAATAAAGTTTTATAAGTTCCGTCCATCAGTACACGCAAATTATTCTTCTTGAATGTATCTGCCTAGTGCATATCACAAAGCTTTTAACTGGACAGCTATCCGGTTGTTGCTTCATCCTTATTTGTGCAGTCCATCATATGTATTGTTGATTCGCCTACTTCAGACATATTTATAACGTACGTGCATTTACACATGTTTATTATTTGCTTTCAGCTTGTAGTAGGAATCCAAGCCCGATCATCGTGTTCTCTGTCGCGTTTCAAATTTACACTGGAGAGGTTCAGTTGGTGAGTGGTGCCTTACGAAACAAAATTGTTCTGTGCCGTTTTATCGTTTACCTGTCGGAGTCTCAATATCTTCTTCATATATTACGTTAACATTTTTGTACAGATAGGTATCAGTAGCTGAGAAAATTCCAGTAGCTTTCCAATCATTGCTTGTATAGTACCATGCATATTACAGTCCAATACCTGATGCCGGGTTTCTGTTCATATTTTCTAATAGCATCTTAACACAACTACAAGGGGAATTTCGACATATCATCAGTCAACTTGTACCACTTTGGATTTATGCGGTGTTGGCATATTCATCGTCTCGAGGTGAACTACTTTTGTGCAGTGAAAATAAGATGATCACAACGTTTTCTGTAGAACAGTTCTTTTTTAGAAATGGATACTAAGCGGTTTACATCATTGATTTGGGACCATATTTCTCAATTATTAATTAGTCTCGCACCGAACTTCTGTATGGAATTATCTCCTGGAAATTTGGAACTGTTCGTTGTGAGATTCTTCACGGTAGTTTTTTCAAACAGTTTATACCATATTTTATGCAGGTCAATGAACCCTTGTAGGTACTTGGTGGCACTACGTCCTCAGCAGACGTTGTTCGAAAGATAGTAGCTGACTCTGTGCCACTTTTTTTGGCCACTCAAATTGCAACTTTATTAAAAAGTGATGATAAGGAATTGGAGGTGAGCTTTGGTTGGATAATTTACTCTTTTTTTTTAAGTATTTTTGTCTTGAAGATACAGTATGTTGAACATGTCCCTTTCATGGAGTATTCTCGCTAATTGTAATTTCCCAGAAATGAGAAGGTAAAGGAAATTGAGGAATATTTTTTAGGATCCGTTGTACTCTTGCTCTGGCACGCAATATCCAATATACATCGGTTTAAATTCATTTAGTAAGAAAGTAGTAGTGGGTGCTTTTAACGTTGAGCCAAAATATCTCAGCTCACATTAAACCACATTAGTTGGAATAGAAACCATTTGGATCTATCGATCTTCGACAGGATACAAATTATCTTTTTCTAAGTAAAAAAAAAGATAAAGTTCTCGGCGTTGATCCATCCTTGAGGGATGCGCCATACATTCGACTTCATTAAGCACCGTTGGAGGCTGCCGACCCTAGAGGGATGAAAGGCATGGTAAGCCTTCGGCGTTAGGGTCCATCCCATGTGTGTTGCAGGGCGCTTCCGACCACTGCGCCACAGGCGACCTATCTTTTCCCAACAAAATGATTTTCCAATTTTCTGGAGCTTATAAAAGTTTTTTCTAATTTTCTTCTTCAAGTGTCCCGTTTTCTACACGAAAGCAAGCGAACAGGGGGACGTCGTCCAGCGGGTCGCAGTGGTTCCCCCATTATGTTATTGGTGTTTTAGGCTGCCGAACTTGCGTTGGAAATCTTTCAAGTAGACACCTCGTTTTCAACGTTTTGGTTTCTACAGTTATAGCCTAGAACTTCAGAGGAATTATGCATACCACGATAGTGCAATGTGCCACCTATGGTGTAGACAGTTTCCAATCCCTTCAGTTACTCTAGAGGTCGGAAAATTATCGTTGATTGTTGAAAACCCAACATGGAGCATTTTGTGTTAACACTACTTTCAACAGATTCTTTTCGTTCATGAAAAAAATGGCAGGATTCAAAGCGTTTTTCTGATCCGCTAAATTTCAGTTTCCGTCTGCTTTTGTCTATAGATTAAAGCGTAGTCCACATAATTTGATAATGTAAACGGTAAACTAAAGAAATTTGGCGTAGAGGTAGAAACCTGTTTGAAATGGCAACTAGTGGAGCGCAGTTTACAAATGGGAGTGGAGCTAAACAAAGAAGAAAGAGATGGGATACGTTCAAGTAGACAACGATGGAAAAAAAGGTGCTGATAACGGAACTGGCCAAGCAATTACTCCATGTTCATAATCGAATTCCCTTTCTCTACTTTTCTCCTCTGCGTTCAATCGTTTACCATGCGAACGCTCCAAGTTCCGTTACAGATTATTCTGGTTATCGCTCTTCATCTACATTTTTTTGGGATTGGGCAGGAACGTATTATTGTTGTTCTTTAATCCAAATGCTGACAACAGTGTGTTTGAATGATGGATCACAAGAGCATGTAATAAATGGCAGCGTAAATTTCACTCATACCCATAGAACAATAGGCCAAAGTTTTTTCTAGAATCGATCTGAGTGTTAATGTATTTTTTTAGTCAATATTCTCAATGTATGCTTAAACAACTCAAGATGTTCCACGCTAGCATGGTTATAGGAACGAATCCTACGTTTATGCGCAGAGATGTTTACTCACGTAGGCTCTGTACTATTGGCGATTGCCGAAACAGAGGCACAGCGAATTGGGTTGAACCGGACATCATTTGTCGTTCTCGTACAGGCGCTAGTAACCAAGGTAGGATCATCAATATGTCCACCAGCAATCTTTGGCAAGAGCAATTAGCATGCAAAATTTCTTATATTTTTTCTTTTCAGTTTTATCTTACACCTTGACGATATATGAGTAAACTTGGTGTAAAGATTTCGAAGATTTAGAAAAGAGTTCATTTTCGATCGCAGTCGTTTGCATTTTCAGCTGGTTAAAAGTTCAATGGATCCGGTATTTTTGTTGCAAGTTGCTCCGGTGTACATCGCAGCGCTCCTCAAGTTACCCTACAGAATGTTCATCTACTCTCGCGTCAAGGATCTCTTACTCAAGTTTGCGGACGAATCTGCTATTGCTTTGCGAATATCAGATGAACTTACAAAATGCCATGGTTTGGTATGTTGTTATATTCTATTTAAGTCTAAAACTGCTTCTTTTATACTTTTAAAAAGTTGGCATAAACATGTCCATGTTTAACCTTGTAGATGCATCTTTCAATAATGGGACAAAAGACAAGTATTTAGAGCACCTGTTATTCCAGTGAGGGTGAAATTGGAAAGTGCTAAATGTCGAAAAATAGGCTGCTCTTAAGAGTGTTCGCTTAACTCCATGTGATGGTGATTTGTATGGTCCATAACTAGCCCAACAATTATAGTGATTGTCATAGTTATGTATGTAATATTTATTCGCGGTCTCTGTTTAAGGCCTATCACAAGCAACTGGTAAAGGAATCGGATCCTCGTATAAAGAAGTTCTTCGGTATTGACGGAATGATGTAATGTCAAAGACATGAAGTTAGCACTAACCACTGGTCTTTCTTGCCAAACGACACCAAAGCATTGAAGACATGGAAATGCAGTTGTATAAGTTCTATAGCTTCTGTGTTCAATCATCCTGTTTTAGACGAGCTATAGTTTCACTGCGTCTTATAAATTCGCACAGGTGATGAAAAGTTTCTTGAGTAGGACCAGACGCTGGTTCGTCTAAACTTTAACGCTAAACTGTCTGAAAGGAAAAAGTGGTCTTAGGGTCAACATGTAGTACCTCGATCCTTCTTTGTATCAAGGTGGATTCTAGATAGAGTTTTAGCTGAATTCCGATTATTGCTTGATCTCTATCATGTTTGGACCATATGAGAGCGTCCAGTTTATGGGCTTCGTGTGGTTCATAATGACCTATCTGTATCCTTTATGATTTTTCCGCTGTTTTCATAGTCTCCCTATTTAAACAAATTGTTCTAACATGTAGATATATCGTGCCATTCAGTATAGTTCAGTTCTACTGCAAATTCACTCGTGTATTACATCCACGTTCATATTTGTGTATTTATTTTTATTTTCCATATGTATTTCTTAATTTTGATGATCTATTATTTTACTTGAGTGAAAAATACGGGTACATTCACTTTAGGGGCCTCTCGTGGGAAAACTTTTCGCTAATAAAATACTGGAATGCTTTTTCATGGTATTGTTATGTTAATTTGCTCTACCGATAGTGTGCCTTTCCATTTTCTTTAATATGTGCCACGAGAATCTTAATAACTAGTAAATAACTAGTAAAAGTCACGAATTTTCCTGTAGCTGAGAGACAGGCGAAACAAAGGACGTACATGGTGTGGTGGTGAACAGGTTAGCCCCGGTAAGCCTAATAACGCAATAACGCCACTACGGTCCGGAGTTTTTCACAAGTATCTCAGCATCGTCTTGTTTGTATTTCGTGCAATACTTGAGCTAGTGTGTAACTACGTGGATTCGTTTCTACAGTAATCATAATTGCTTGCAACTGTAACCGTATTAATCACAACGCAGTCTCTTTTCATTTAGTGCCCATTCTTTGTTCTAGGGTACGATTTGGGTCGTACAGGTTATGACACGGCCGAGAAAAGCGAAACGAAGGACCTGCACGATGTGGTGGTGAATACGCTAGCTCTCGACAAGGATAATCGCGGGATCGATTCCCACCGCGGAGAGCTACGGTCTAGAGTTTTGCAAATCTCTCGGCATAATTGTGTAACCGTACTGTTAAACTCGTGGGAGGAGTAAGTTTTTGCTGGAATGAAGAGATATGAATCTCAGTGTAACTTCCACTATCATATTTTACTGGTTGAGTAAGTTTCGTCTCTGTGGTGTCTCGAAATGATCGTACCAGCATTCCTAGGTCTGCTCATGAATGATTTTCATATATCAAAGAGAGGGTTGTCGTTCTAAAGTTGATTTCGTGTTAAAACGAAAACTAGTTTTCACTATGTCCTCTTTTATGAAACCCTTGGTATAGGTTTTGCACTCTTCATATCAGTTAGCCTAGTCTGAGTGGGAGTCAAATATCAAGTGCATTATGGTTTAGCACTAGAGGGTACTTGTTTCGCTGAGGTGGTAAACGACATGGGGAGAACATGTTGCCGGGTTTAGAAATGTGATCTAAACAACCGTTCATCCAGGGTACATTCTGTCTCCTAAGCTGAGAAGGCTGACATTTCCACTCGAGTCCAGTTAGTACTATGGCTACAGCGACGAATATAGTTTAGTGGTAACTAGGTTGATGAATGGTGAATGGGACAACAAGTGGTATGGGTGACATTAACAAACGACTTTAAAACGTTCGACATTTTTAGAATGCTGGCTGTTAAAAATTAGCTGCTTTAGCTGCTAGCATTTCCAGAGTTCCGCATAATCTGAAAGAAGGGTGTTCTAGTCAACGCTTAAGCAGACATTTATCAAAATTTCAGGAAAGTTAGCTCCATCAGGACGTCTACAAAGGCAGAACTTCCTAGAATCAGCCGAACTTACGTGAAGATATGAAGGTGTTCGTGCTTGACGCGTTCAAGACAACAAACCGAATGAGGGGTCTTGGCGTTTCGCGCAGTGAACAGTATCACTACCACTGCGCTACCCGCCTCCGTAAATAAAGAAAAGCAGGAGAATTTGCCCTTATGGGTTATCCCGGCATGGAGGTAGTAATGATCTTCAGATTACAGTTGGAGTCTACTTTGACTAGATTCATCAAATATGTGAAGGAATATGAAATAGTTAAGGCGCATCAATATCGACATGTGAAAGTACTTGGACTTAACACCTATTAGGGGATGTCCTCTCAACCCGTGTATATTCATTTCCTTCATCTGTCATCTGCTCAACACCTTGCCGTTGTGCTACCTGAGCTGGCACGCGCGAACTCTATTTTTGCTGCGATTTTTGTGAAGAATTCTGATTACCATATTGGTGGTCTTCGCGCGGGCTATTTGACGTTCCATAAGGGTGTGGGTAGGGGGAGGAAGGGGGAGGCCACTTGTTATCTGCTCTCGTCCACCGGTTATCACTGAGATGCGACTTTCTGGCCAACCACTTTTAAACTTTCTTGCATGTGCAATGCCCCTCTGATTACTGGCCTTCCATGTAAGTCATAACTTCGGATTCTCTTCCCCTTTCTCTCTCTCCCCCTCTCCCTCTCTCTCTCACCTGTGTAATACAGGATGCTATCAACATCACTCTCTCATCAGCTCGTTTGATAACACTGAACGATCTTTCATCCTGCTTCCGTGATGTCCAGATTTTCGAAACGTTCGTCAACAGATCCGAAGCCACGCCCAGTTTTTCGCCGTGTGAGGCCCATCGGAATCGATGCGCACACTACTATACCACCTCTCAACAGGAACCACTGTTGTGTCGGCAGTACAACTCAGTTTCGCAATATATGTTGATCGTTGTTCAGGTCTTTTTAGGTAAATTTTCCGGACACTACCATTACACGTGGTAACCATGGTGCATAATTGAATTGGAAAGAGGAGAGTGTACTACTGGTCAGAAACCAGGTTTTGTACTCATTAAACATGTTGACATAAGGCAAATTCAACTGTTTTCGATAGACTACTTATCGATAGCGAGTAGGAGATCTGTTATGCTCTCCTGGAAGAGATGGAAGAAAATGAATCAAAGGATGAAGACGAAGACCATAATCGTGAAATCACCAACGAGTGCTGAAATAATCGCAATCCCTCATGATTGTTCGTATTCGAGTAGCAGTGAATTTAGTGTGAATGACATGTTCTGCTCAGATGCACTGAACGGATACATTTTCTAAAGTTGTTTATGGCTGCTATTTGGCAGCTGATTGTAAACAAGATCAGGAAATACGGACAAGAGAGGAACCGTGCTGTTACGAGTGGAATCTCACTCAACACGGCTCTGAGGAAGGCGAATTCACCGAAACGTCAGCCGTCGGCCAACAATGACTACAACAACGACAATCTCTCGGTCTTTTGAGTTATTAGAGGAAGTACCGTTCATACGGACCGACAAGCATACGAGCAAATCGAACTGCTAATTGGTTTCTCTGTTTTCAGATGCGAAGTCAATAGGTTGGCGGAATATCGGATTTCCGGTGCATGCTATTATTGGACCTGTTGTTGTGCCAGTAATCAGGTTTTGGAAACCATTGACTCATTTCCATCTGGCGAACAATGCAACCTAAAGTGGACTTATCAATGGAGAATTAGAATGTTAGAAGAACATTTAACAACTGGCCTGACAAGAACTTCTGCATTGGTGAGATCATCGTGCCGCTTAGCGAAAGATTCACATTCCTCGAGTGCATCTCTTCTAAGAGGAGCAAATACAGTATCAAGTTAACGAAGTTCTGCTATGGTAATCGCTTATTTTACATTCATGAGCCCATCAATTTCCGAACAGCAAATGCGCATTGAAATATTAAAAAGCTCTGTATTCTTTGTTGGAATCTTATCATAAATAGTGCATTTATAATGTTTAACCCATTTGTGGCAACGTCGGTTTTAATAAGAGTTAAAGACTTGCTGGGGCTTTTTTTTTTGACAGTGAGCGATGATTTTTCAAGAATTAGAGGAACTGAGGGTTGACAACAGGACAGAGTTATGAAGAGGAGTTTTCTGTTTCGTTCTAGAGGTGTGCACGGTTTGTGTTCAACCGTTGTCGTGTCTCTTCACCATTCTACCACATTGCTTCGACAATTTGGAAGTGTTTTGCAGCTTACGTTGTATCTCTGCATTTTTTATGACAGCTCATTCTATATGATAAACATAACGATCCTCTCAACGATATGCCGCCTCATCGTGACTGGGAGGTGTTCTTGGATGCCGGGCTGCGATGCTATGAGGGTATTCATCCCGCAGGGCCTCCCAAGCTGAGTCCGGCCTTTCCATCAGGAAGCCCAGCTAAGAGTAAACAAGTACCAGGATCCACCACCATCTTGGTATCAAGCTGGTCGCATGGTGACAAATTTCCCTCTGATCCACGACGACAGAAACTGCCTATGGTGGTGACGAACTGAGGCAGGTTTTAGCTATGCTGATCTCGGGACTCCAAGGAACCGGAATAGCTAAGGCAGCAAAACTCCGAAAAAATGGAAACTATGCTGAGGCCTACACGACCAGTGAGGACTGGCCATCCAAGTATCCAAGTAAACATACCGGTTGGAAATGAAATAAAAGTTATTTGCCGTTCAAATTACTTACCAATGAACTCGTTAAGGATAAAGTTCCTTTCCATTCCTATGTGCTTTCCCTGGCAATGCACGCCACAAAACCTGTTTTGTGTAAGCTATAGAATAATTACAAACGGTACTCTGTGCTGCAAAATAAACGACTAGAATCAAAATGCATCATGTGTGAATCGCGTAGGCACCAATAGGTTAAATATGGAGATCTCCTTAATGCAAAGCTTTCCTAAGAGTGCAGCTCCATTTGATACTCCCTACACTTTAATCACTTGTATACTTGGATGGGCCGTCATTGCTTGTGCGCGCCCGATCATAATCCCAACTTTTTTGGAGTTTTGTTGGTTTAGCCACTGTGGATCCCTCGAGTTTCGAGGTCAGCCAGGCCAAAGGCAGCCCCAGGTCATCACAAGTACAAGTAGCAGCCGCCATCGTGGATCAAATGGAGGATCACCCACCACGCGACTAGTTTACTACCAAGACGATGACGGATCCTGATATTGGTTCACTCTTAGCTGGTCTTCCTGAGCGAAAATCTGGACTCCTCAGCTTGGGGGACCCTACTGAGAGGGTTAATCCCTGTGCTGTACACCACAGTGCGACACCCAGGAACGCTTCCCAGCAAGGATGAGGCGGTAAACTGTTGGGAGATCCTTTAATTGCTCTAGTGAAGATTTCGTGCTCCGTCTTAAATCATCTGACAGAACTCCAAATTTTCTACGTTTACGTGCGTTTACGTCTCCTCTATGATTTAGTTTTGTTATGGATCTGCTTCTTAAAGCTTTTCTTGTATGACTTTCTACTTCCTAAGACAAATCCTAGTTTGTATTGTTTTGTCATTCCCTAATAATCGAGCTTGCTATCCCTGCTGTCCTCTTGGGATCTACGTATTCTATATTATTACTTCTTTTCACGCATTCATCATGATCTCCTCTTAATGAAAATCTGTCGTCACAGCTCAACAAGTGCAGTTTTAGAACGCTTTATAGTTTCGCTCGTGAATCTTCCTCTTCATCAGTCCTTTTATTCGTTTATGATCCTCTTCCGTTCGTTTTCGATCCAGATTTTCACTTAGCATGGGCGGCGCTAAGGATTTCGTGGATGGTCTCATCAGCAATCGTAAAGTCGTAGTTTTCGGCAAGTCTCAATGCCCATATTGTCACAAGGTTTTTCTTTTTCTGTCTCACTTTTATCACGTTTTCTATAATTGCTGGTGAAGGGTTCATCGGTAAAGAAGTTACCAGCGGCGCTTTGTGTGTGCGTGATTTAATTAAAGTTGCTTTTCTGAGATATAAGGTTATATAGTTAGTTAAAAACACTATGGATTCGGCTTGTTAGATTCATCCACAAGTGTTGGTTGACTAACCGCGAGTTTCATTGTTGTAAGAGTCGCTGCTGTGCCAAGAAAATCTTAGTCGAAAGGCAACAAATCGCCCATCTCTCTATGAAAACCGGTAACTTCGAAGAGCTCCAAACATTTGAGTGAAGAGAGACGATATCAATTTTTCAGGTAGCAGCTGAATCCTTAAATCGATACCACCATTTACATGAAAGGGTGGGTGCACGACAATGTAACGAACGAAAGATGTACTAGAACTACCATGATAGGCAAAGATGGGGAATCATCTTTCTATGTATCAGACTAGTAAGATGGACATTGAGCGCGTGTAGTGCTTTTGTCGGAGGTGCTCTGCAACACATACGTGAGATCGATGCAGATGCCCGTGGCTCACCAAGCCTTTCATCCCTCCGGGGTCGGCAAATTGATACCGGAATTGTCTACGAGGATCCCATCACTAGCTCGATACATCGGTAAGCTACAGCTAGTCATTGTAAAGGCCAGATATGCATTCAGTTACCACCGCTAACGATGCTTAATTAAATCGGATGCATGGCGCATCCCTCAAGGACTGGTCAGTGCCGAGAGCTTTATCCTTCATCCTTTAAGACGGACATTGACATTGCAGCGTTATATGTCATTGTGCTTTGACCTGTCGTTTCTGTTTATAACCGAAAATGAGCTTGAAGACTTGAAAACCTGGGTTAATCGTGCCGTGTTTCTTGTTTTAATATAAGTGGTGAATGACGTCATGAGAAAATGGTACTTGTGAGTTTTGTGATAGAATATAGACTATTAGTGTGAAATCATTAGATCTAGAACACGGATTTTAGTGTTCTCTTCCTTCATCAAGAAATGTAGCAGTACTTGTCTTCATATTGCACCTTCTGCATCTTTTAAAATTTTGCTCTTTTGTCGATTGTTTTCGAAAATGTTTGTTCGCAAGAAACAAGTTCAAACATTTAATAGATGTGTCTGTGTGTTTTTTAAAGAAGTATTCCCCATAAATCTTGATAAATATCTTGAAAATGAAATACAACCGCGACGATGCTGAGATATCTTGGACTATAAGATAAAACTTGGACCCTGGGCCAAATCGAACCACGATTACCCTTTGCGGGCGCTGGTGTATTACACACCTCACCACTGATTCCCTTGTTTTGCGTTGCTCTAGGCTAGTCTTTGGTCCGGAGGTCCTTTTTTGCGAACATCTTAGCATCATCGTGCTTATGTTCCACATCATGCCTTGTCCTGAAAAATTATTGTAGGCAGCAAATAAAAAGTCAACACCATCTTAAAAGTATTGCAGATGTTTGTAGCAACTGTTAGTTCGTTGTCGCTTCAGGCAAAAGCTGCATTGGAAGGCCAACAAATCAAACCAGGAGCGATGGAATGGGTGGATATTGATGGACGGCCTGATTGCTCTGAAATACAGGATTACATGAAGGTGTGAGCTTATAGGTTTTTCTTAAACGAATGGAGAAGTTAAGTAGTGCTAGATCTTCTAAAGTACTTTCCTTGTAAAATGCTGCAGACTCATCTTCATGCACAGTGATGCTAAGATATTTGCAAAACTCAGAGCCCTAGCCCAATTTGAACCGCGATCATCCTTTCTGGGGTCTCACATCTTGGGCACTGCACCACTGAGACCCTTGTTTTGCCTTTTCTTAGCCAATTTGTTAGCATAACAGTACCATCAGGAGTCACCCGTCATTCACATACATTTGCCACATTGTCCCACATCCATGTAATTCTCATTCTTGATCGTTGATTTATTTCACACGGAATGGTCCAGGTTACTCGTTCTCATGTGGTATTCAAGTATAACACTAGTCGTTTTATCCCGTGGTGCTTCTCCTTTTAACAGTCATTATTGAATCTTTTAGTCTTCGTCTTAGAACTCTCTAAAACTGGATTTAGTAGTGTCTGTATTTTACTTACTGCCTACTTTTTTTCACGGCAAGGTATTAGGTGAAATATAACCACAATGGTACTGGGATATGAGAACTCGGAACCCCATATGAGCTTCCAACACGCGATCACCCTCACCCAGATTCAATGTTTAACGACGTGCAGACCACATGCATATAATAGCTAAAGTACTTTGATCATCCAGGACCTAACAGGAGCACGATCTGTTCCGCGAGTGTTCATCAATGGAAAATTCTTCGGCGGTGGAGACGATACAGTAGCTGCTTCGAAAAGCGGAAAACTCGCACAACTACTTAAGGAGGCGCAAGCCATATAATTCGTTTAAGATTGTTATGCTACCTCCTATGCATGAAATCATTGTGGTATGCCTCTGCGACGTTAACGTTACTAAATTTTATATGACTAACATGATCAAGATGTTAATTAACAGTATTTTACTGTTAGATATAACTGGCACAGCACTAAGACAGTGTGGAATTTTAGTCAGAAGGCCCGTATTATAGCTGCAGTTTGTTCAGATAAATACGTCGGGTTTTTTTATACAGTCTGAACTACGTGTCGTGAATTATGATCAGAACCTTAAACAATAGACAGCAAGTTATATGTTGTGCTGTCGGTTCAGTAATGATGTTGGTTTATGAACATACAGAAACAACGAAAAGCAGTGAAGCAAGTGATCACAAGTGTAAAAAGGTGTTAGGCCGAGATCGTGAAACTAACTGAGAGATAGGGTACTTGCATTGGCTACTAGAAGGGTTTCAGCTCGTAACCGTACTTGGATATCTATAGTGTGGCACAATTGGATTGCATATTATCATGTTGGAACGCAGGTCCTTGCCGATTATTGTTTCGAATTTTCCTCACTTTCAAAGCTTCTTGTAGCATGTTGGAGTATATTCCAGAAATTTCCATAACAATGATACAAAAGCCGAGACCGCAACTGGGAAGGTGACATCGCAGCGAAATGGGCGATCAACAATTTTGAGACACGCTCCACGTGCAGCTCAGTGTTAAGATGTCAATCATTGTCTGGATGATTATGGCAACATTTGAGATAATAACGCTAGTGAATAAACGGCGCTGTTTTAGTTTATGGGCCTCGACGAGGGCAACTTGAGCGATAGAAATCTGCTTTGATCTGCAGCGCCGATCAACACTCGAAGACACAACGCGGAAAGCTTCAGTGTAAATGTTTTGACAAAAACACTCGACTTAGCTCATACCACGGATGAACAAAATCTCAGCTTGATGGATCATTGCAACCGCTCGTCTTTTGGACGTCACAGTAGCCGACCATCTCGAATCAGTCCATTGTTCAGTGACTTTGATAATGATGGTGTATATATCGTATATTGAGGATGTTTAGTAAATTAATGAAATAAGAGGTCAAGAGGCGGTTAACATCGACAAGAACTTGTGTTCCAAACCAGTACTTGTGTCTATAGTGGAATAACTATGTTCACAACATAAAATCTATAATTTAATTCGGAAGACTTCAACAAGCATAACCCTTCAAGTTGGTTTCTTTTCAAATATTCACACTATGCTGGATGAGACTATCCGTAAGTCGTGTGGATACGTATAGATGTGTAATACCTACATATTGATTTAGGAAGCAATTCAACTCGAAGTTTTGTTTTGTATTGCACAACGATCACATAAAGATACGTGTACATACTACAGTACCAACACTGGTTTATGCTGATAGTATAGCTCTAGGCCACTACATGGAGATCAAAGTAGTGATAACTAGGAGATAGCGACGTGAACATCGACAATAAAGACACATGAGCTGACACTGCTGTCGATGATTCAAGAGTACATCGAGCTTATCAATATATCATCTTCATCTGAGTCCGCCTGAAAGTTCTGAAATCAGTCAGTCGGCTAACTTCGAAAGAAAAAATGGTGTCACAGTGTAGGTCACAATTCTCCCACTTATACAATTTCCCTCCCGATGGTTTATTGCCTGATTTTACTGCGAGGAGCTACTGGGTGTCCGGCTGCTATGCACAACAGGAAATTCGTCACTCCAGCAGGGCCTCCAAAGCTGAAAAAGAGTCCAGCGTTTCCATCAGGAAGCCCAGCTAAGGGTTAGCCAATACCAAGATCCACCACCGTCCTGGTACTAAACTAGTTGCATGGTGACAAATCTCCCTCTGATCCACAAAGGCGGCGACTGCTTACGGTGGCGACAGTCTGGGGCAGACTAGCCTGGCTGACGTGGGGACTCCAGGGGACTACAATAGCTAAGCTAGCAAAACTCTGAAGCGATGGAAATTATGCTGGGGCACGCACAACCAGTGAGGAGGAGCCATTCAAGTATCAAGTGTTCCCAACAACATTGCTACTGAGTTGCACGTGCTTCCTTTGAATTCAGCATGTTTCTAAGATTAATTTGAAATCGCGGAAATTTTCCTGAAAACTATGGAGAACATATTCGTCACGACTAGAATAAAAACCATTATATCTACAGGGTTTTTCTAATAGGATAAAAGTTTTCCCATTATATGATTCGTAACTACTACAGCACACAAGTGTTCTGTGGTATTTATGGCAGCCGCAATTGGATCAAAAATTTCAAAGATATGAATGTGATAAAAACTTGGATTTCAAATAAACCGGAGCCAAGATTATATCTCAGAGAAATTCCAGTGGTCTTTGTTCGATAAGGGAAAGCCTTTTCGATAAGACCGTCAAGCTTTCATGTCCCGAATTACTCCAGTTGACGAGAAACCAGCGTCGTTTTGAATGTGTCAAGTTTTGCTTTACCAAACTTGGTGCGGCTCCCAGCATAATTTTCACTTTTTCGGAGTTTTGCTGGTTTAGCCATTGTGGTTCGCTGGAGTCCTGAGGTCAGCCAGGCGAAAGCCTGTTCCAAGTCGTCACCATCACAACTAGTCGCCAACCTTGTGGATCAGGGGGAGGTTTGCCGCCATGCGACTAGTTTGATACAAGGATGATGGTGGATCCTGGTATTGGTTTACGCTTAGCTGAGGTTTCTGGTGGAAACGCCTAACTCCTTCTCAGCTTGAAAGACCCTGCTGAGGGTATAAATCCCCCCGCTTTAAATAGCAGCCCGACACCCAGGAACACTTCCCAGCCACGACGAGGCGGAAGACGGTTGGGAAGTTTTTAAAATTATACAAACATAAATGCCACTGAATGGATAGGAGAATGGTAAGCCCTCCAATAACTTAAGAAAACAACTTCTATTTTCTAAAAGTCTAATGAATAAAACTTCTTAGATAGTGGTTACCTGTAATAAATTTCCACGTCGATTTCGAGCCAAAGCTTTGTTACGAGCTCGCCGTCGAATCACCAGTACGAGCAATACCGCCAATGTTATGAACACGACCAGAGCGAATACTATTTCTCGTCTCGACAATACAACGTAGCCATCTGGAAACGAAATTGGTGATAAATAAGCACAAGGCTTCAAACCGATATTGAACCTTGGGGAGAACACAGTAGTTAGCGACACAGTTCATCAGGAAGCAAGGTTTTGGTTGGACCCACTACACAACGCTCTTTCTCTCTTAGCCCACGTAGGAACCGAGCCGAAGCGACATGCAAAAAAGTTCGAAGACCTTTGTCGTTGCATACGAGAGACCGAATCGAATGCAGGAAATGCTGGGATCCACGTAGTAGATGTGAAGACGAGTCATGTAAAATGTGGAAAGAAAAGTTATGCGGTTCGGCTTCTACATCCTTTATTATGGGTCGATCTTTTTTTTTGTTCCTACTTTCATTCTTCCTTTCGGTTCTAATACCGTATCCGAGTCAACTAGTAGGAAGACCGAACGGAGGAAGCGTTGCCGAAAAGTTACTTCCCTCAGATTCACTTAGTGGTGAAAACATGAAAACGCCCTTGAGAGGCTGTCACAACTTTGTGGAAGATCAAATTGCCCAACCAGCAATCGTCCAGCCTCAACACCCCACACACTTCATGCTGTTGCCTATGACGTCAGGCGGTGAGACGACCAGTGAACGGCCACAAAACAGCTTACACAGAGCGTCACTGGAACCGGATCTGACAAACACATACAAGGCACTCTATGGAGATTGTTTCTTACTCAACACGTATAATGTCAGAACACATTCCTCAGACGCTGATCTTCGCGCCGTTTTTAAGCCACAGATTGTATCAAATTTCATGTGATCAACATATAAGAAAAAAAAAGCAAAAAGACCGACATACGCGAAAATGGGAGCTTTGAGGTCGGCACAGAAAAGGAAAAGATCCCGTCATGAAATGTCGGTGATGTAGGCCTCATTGTCCACCCATCCTCTGTTCATCTCGTCGACACGTACAAGATCTTCCTCCTCACATAACCGTCCTCTGTATTCAATCAATGCGTCATAAGAAAATCACTATCACTAATTCCTACTCACTGACTGATGCAGCTGATTAATACGAGTTCTACTATCAGCTAGAGGAAGTTGTCCGTCATGATAAGTCGTATTATAAATTTATTATAGGAGAATCCAACGCTAGAATAGAAAAATCCATGGAGAACGAATACACGAGCGGGATCAGGATTAAAAAGTCCGAATGGAAATCGCCTTACAGGACTTCTGTCCGCAGCACGCCCCCTCCACAGAAACTTGTGTTTCCGGAAGAAAGTTGCCGCTGGACATTGGATTCAACTAACGTTGCGACACACGCCGAGATCGACCATGTATTTACTAGCAGAAGATGATGGCTACTCGACACATCGGTAGTCCCATCATTCTGTACTGGGTTCGATTAGTGCCTCTTTAGTGTAAGGGTTCCAATCAGTCGTAAGCTGGAAGAAAAATTCATGCAATCAACCATGAAGAAAAAGTCAAGTTACACATGGCAAAAACATTCTGAACAAAATCCTATGCAAGCATGACTGGCAGATTAAGGAAAATGCGACCAAAGACTACGAGCTGGATGTCGAAGAATTAGAAGTTCTATTGAATACACCTCAGTTGCCCAAGCAAGTAGATCAGATCGCATATCCATTACAACTAAGGAGTTCTTCTGGAAGAAAAGGAAACTGAAGCTAGATCCTACTGCAACACACTTAACATGTCTACTAATAAATGCCAATTGCAGCAGAGCTTTTCAGGAAGATCTACATTGGTACAGGAAGAAGAAATAATTAGATACTTGCTACTTTGATGGCCCGTATTCACCGGTTTTGCGGGCCCCAGCATAATTTACCTTCGTTTCTCTCTTGCGCAATCGTCGTCCATGATGGTGGTCCGCTTCGAAGATGGTTATGTCAGCGAGCCTCATCCCGTAATCCTGAAATCGTTACCACCTGTAAGTGCAGATGGTTGACG